CCAGCATTAGCATTTGCATTAACACCTGTTTACTTACCAGTCTACTCCTTTACTCACTAAGAGCTGTCTGCAGTGGTGCAAAGCAATGCCAATGTTAACTCTTGTTTAGCATGCTAACCAGCTAACCCCAGCCTGTCTTGTCACTTTCTGATAGCACGTATAAGGCGTAGTGCTGCTCAGAGGGCGTATTATAACCTCCTGTCTTGTAAACACAACAATGTCCGCAGCTTTTGTCAAGCGACAATCACCACCACCAGCTCCCGGCAAGAAACCAGATTCATCGGCAGAGAAAACTTACAAATAGCCCCTTTTAAACCTGCTACAAATGAGCACGTTAGCATTGTTATCAGCATGCTGAAGTTACCATTAAGCTGTGTCGCAGAGCCTCACAGAGCCACTAGCATGGTTGTAGGCTCTTTAACAACAAATAATAATGTTAGACAGAAAAGATTACAGAAGTGAGCAGGGGAGCTGTAATGTTTTCTTTTTTTTTAACAGTGGTTTACATAGTTAATATGTCAAGATTTCAAATTGTAAAAAAAATAGTACAGAATAGTACATCCCTTATTTTTACATTTTGAATATTTCATGACATTCAAAACCATTTCATATTGAATGCACCACATATTTTAACATATTTTTGCTTCATACATACTTGAAAAGTTGCCCCTTGTTACACGCTCTGCTTTTGTATTTGACTCATTCTTGAAGCTGATTCTATCATCACCATTTGCTGCATCTATCATTTGTATTTACTGCTGCTGAAATGGTCAATTTCTCTGGCTTATGCAACCCACTTGTTTATGTTGTATTTTTCACTTTGTCTTTCGCTTTATCTTTTAAAGGAAGGCAGCATGCCAAGATCCTGACTGGCATATACACAGAGAAGAGCCTCCCCCAAATCCCCAAGGGCTCAACATTTTTAATAACATTTATTTTAGACTTTATAATAACAGATTTTAATTTCTCAGTTTTTTAAAGATTGCTTGCCTCAAGCCTTTCCAGAGAAGTTTTCCGTCTGTGTTGAAAGTTTATTTTCTGATTACCACAAAACTTTTAAATTGCTATGGTTTTAAACTGGTGAAGATCTTTGTCTTTAATTGTATTTAATTATATTCAGTTTCGGTTTTACAGTGTAGATGCTGCCCCCCCCCCCCCCCCCCCCGCCCGTACCGTCCGTACCGTCCCGTCCGTAGCCCGTCCGTCTGGCAGATCTAGGCTGGTAGAACACAGGAAACACCTATGGGTGCTGTCAGATGCTTTTATAGTGACTCCAATTAACCTGCAGTCAGATGTGTGTAATAATGTATACTCTTTTTTTTGTGCATTTAAGCATACATGCCATTTTTTTGTTTGGACATGATTGTGTATGGGTGTCCACAGTATTTGTGTGTGTGCCCTATGTGTGTGTGTGTGTGTGTGTGTGTGTTTTTCTAATGAGGCTGTAGCACTGTGGGTGTGGAGTGTTGGAGTGCTTTGAAGAAGTGTGTTTTTCGGCTGGCTGTCCTCTTCATAACCATGGTTTCACTGTTTGTTTTGACTGTCTACTCTGTTGCTGTCCAGTATCTCTGAGCAACACACACACACACATGGACACACTGATGCAATAGCAAAAACTTTTACATGAGGCATTCATCACCGTGTTTGTGTTATATTCCAGGTTTGTATGTGTGTGCGTATGTGCGTGCATGGGTGTGTGTTCAGCCGATGGTATCTAAATTGTTCACCCTCATTAGTCTGCTGAAAATGATCAATATATTCAATTGGCTCTTTGCACACTGCACACAGGACTGTTTAAAGCTTTTTATGCTGGTCTGAATTAACTGAACTTTTGCTGGTTCAACTTTAGTATTGCCACGTTGCAGTATAGTGTAATATTGCATATCTAATTACTGGCCATCCTTCTTATGTAGTCACTGTCTAAAAGTGCCTATGCTGAAATATTAATGACTCATCATATGTTATTAATAACTATGAGATAAGATATAATCATGTAGAGTTTGGAGGGTGGTGTCTTTTCTTAGCCTTTCCAAAACCAAAAATACAAAAGCTAACATGCAATACATTATTAATGCTGTAATTCTTCAAGATGGATCAACTGGTAGGGATGCTAACATTTTTCCTGAGACGCTTTAGCTGCAGTTGTTTAGCACAGTATCATGTATGTAGCTGTCAAATTCATATTTATGAGCCTTTATGAGGGGTCTTGCTTTGAAATGGAAAGAGTAAAAAGTGAATCAAACACAGTGTTTTTAATGAACTCACAGAGCTATTGTTAGCATAATTAGCCAGCTAGCTACAGCTGATACAATCTGCCAGCAACAGTTGTCATTTCAGCTGCCACCGTTGACAGTCACCTATTAGAAAACAAGAGACCTGCTTTTGTCCTAATTATTGTAATTATTGATGGTAAACCTTTCACCGTGATCAACTGTGTTGTGTGAAAACGAAAAGCTTGACAGATGTAGCAACAGTTAGCTTAGTGAACGGACAATACGTCAAGTTCATGGTCATTCCCTTTAAAGTCGTTGAAAAGGCATTTTGGGAAATGGAGGATATTGATAAATGACACAGAGGAGTCAGCTTGAGGAAACCTGCCTCCATCAAACAGAAAGTGGAATGAGTTTGCAGGGCGTATCTTTCCTGTAACTTGTAAAAACCAGATGCAACTTTTCCCCTCAAAGGTCTGTCATGAAGACACCGTCAGATTAAAGGAGGGGATTTTTGCCTTATTGCAAAGGGTGTCACCATTTTCCTGTCGCATAACAGGGCTGCACAGAGGTAGGGGTCATGTCTAAGGGCTAGTGGCCGTGACGTCACGAGGTCAAAAGGTTACGGCTGGCAGCTGCTGGACAGATGTAAGAGACCGTAGACAAACACTGTGTGTGTTTCTGTGTATGAGCATGTTTTGTTCTTTTTTGGGAAGAAGCCAGTCATTGTGTGGTGCTTATCAGTGATATCCTAAATTATAAAATACTCTCTTCTATCATTTTCTGTCGTTTCATGTTTGTTTTTCTGGCCTTTTTCAAACTTTTCTTCATTTTATCACCATTCACCGCACCTTAGTATTACTGTAATGCATGTTAGTCGATGCATATCAGGTTCTGTGGCATTACACCCCTCTTACAACAAGTACACACAAAGAGGATGTAGAAACCTCCTGGTCCATGTGTGTGTGTGTGTGTGTGTTTTAGAGATAGAGTGTGTGAGTGAATCCCTGCATTTAGTGGCCAGAAATAGCCGGTTAGGAAATCAATGTTCCTCTGCCAGTGGCGCTGGGAGCTGTCTCCTCTACAATAGAGGGACTGTCCTGTTTCCTGCACCCTGGAGGGAGTGTGTGTGCATGTGTGTGTTTGTGTGTGTGTGTCTGTGTGTCTGTGTGTGTGTGTGTGTGTGTGTGTGTGTGTGGGTGCAAAGAGAGAAAGAGTAGAAAGAGAGAGTGCAGGCTCATCTTTATCTTCTGTGCTGCATCGTCAGCTAACAGGAGACAAAAACAGAGGGCATAAAATGAAAAATAATGTGGGTGACAGTAGCAAAATGTTGTGTTAGTAGACTTAATACAGTCTTACACTTTTATGTGTGTGTATATGAGTGTCTTCTTTCAGTGTATATACAGTATGTGTGTTAATACATGTTTGTGTGTTAACAATTGGCGCTAATAGGCATCAGTGCCTAACCAGCATATCATGACAAAGCTCATCGACCCTGCCGTTAGTTTTCTCAGTTGTGACATTGCTCTGGCTGCGAGCCACTCGCCGTGATGGAGAGAGTGAGCGAGTGAATCAGTGACATCATCACTGTGAGGACAGAAAAAATCAAACTGATCCAAACCCATGAGCTGCATGAAGACGCACTTCAAGCTGTATGATGATGTCACTGAATTTGGAATAAAGCACATTCATATGTGCACAAAATGTTAAAGAAATACTTTACATTTACTTAAAGGGAGAACATGGGGATTATGACTTAATGCTGGCAAATTAAAGCCAAAGAGAGTAATGCCCTCCAGTCTGGCAGGAACTTAAATTTGTTATTATAATATAATTTTTACTCTTGCCTAACCATAACATAACTAAATCTTCTTATTTAGGTAGTTGTTGCTGTATTATTGTCCATGCCATTAATATTATCTGATATTTTTCTGATTTTTCTGTCATGTGCAGGAGAAACTGCGTCTCGTATTTGCGTTATTATCATATATTTCCATTATTTCCATTCCAAGACAGATTTACATTCTGATCTTTATTGCAGACTATGTTGTTTGTTCACAACCTACACAGCTTTAATGTAAATACATAATGCAGTGCCAGCATCTGCACTCAAGTGTGACGTGTTTCAAAAGTCGGTTTAAATTTATTCATGAGGAGCATTTAACCAACAGCTCAGTCACAAAATGGTTTTTCAAAGCTGGCACCAGCGTGTTGTGCACTCACAACAACACAACATGAGGCCAAAGGGATGCAATGAAGTCATGTGCAATACATTCATTTCAACACATAAAACATTTTATTTGACTTTAATAACATTTTGTTATTTGACCTGGAAAGAAAGGTGCTGTGCAGCTGTAGTGTATTTATGACGATGATTTCTGTCTGTGAGTTTTGCATGTGAGATCCATCCATGTGAACTCGCTCCATGTCTAACTGCACACAGTAGCCTGCCTGCTCTGAGTGATGTAAATATTCTGAATGGCAGACATATTATCACCGTGGGGGTCTGAACTCGAGGAAATGACATTCTTTCCTGCAAAGAGCAGACGAGGAAATATGAAGACGATATGACTCATGACGAACAACGAGGGGAAAAATGAAAAAATGAAAGATGATGCTTCCTTGGCTTGAAGACTGACTACAGAATACTCATCCCATATGATACTGTAAACATAAACATTAAACACAGCACTGATTGCTGTGTTACATCATAAAAAGGCATCATCCAGCTATCACTTAAGTTTATTGGCTGCAAAAATCAATTCACGTTTCACTTTATTTGTGTTTCAGAGCTCCTCGGTTCTGCAAAGAAAGTGAATGTCAACTTCCAGGATACAGATGGGTGAGTTCCTCTCTTACATCTCCCACACATCTCTCATTCGTTTCCATTATCATTGTCTGGGTCTCTCCTCCTCCACCTCCTCCTCCTCTGCCCCTGCCTTTTAACATCCACCCTCTTTCATTCCCCCCTCCCATCGTCCTCCTGGTCCCATTCATATGAAAGCTGCATTATCATGGCAGTTTTACTTCTGCCTCCATAGTATTAAAAGCTGAAGGATTAGCCCAGATACCATCAGCTAAAATTCAGTCTAGAATGGTGTGTGTGTGTGTGTGAGTGTGTGTGTGTGTGTGTGTGTGAGTGAGAGAGAGAGAGAAAAAGGAGTACTAATGGTATGATTTCATGATATTAGTTGTTACATACATGTCTCCCTGTGACCTCCTGTGTCTCATTTGCCATTAAAAGCTTTGCGTGTGTGCAGTATGTGAGTGTGTGCAGTATGTGAGTGTGTGCAGTATGTGAGTGTGTTCCCATGTGAGCACTAGTTTGTGAGTCACTGCTTGAAACCAGTAAAACGACAACACACAAAACATCAGATGGAGAGCTGTGGCCCCTCGCCCTTGTGATCTGTGGCAGAGACAATTGTGTGAGTGTGTGATCTGCAGGTTTAAGACCATGGATGGATTAACCACTGAGGGGTAAAAAATTTTTTGTTGGCCCCTCAATGACCCTGTATATGGCAGTTTCATTATTTTAACAGGCAGCGCCAGTACTCTGCAAAATTTAGTTGCTTAATTGATTAATCGTTTCATTTTTTAAATTTTTTTTTGCCAAAATGCCAAAAATTGACTGGAACCAGCTTCTCATGGGTGAATATTTGCTTGTTTCCCAGTTTTCAATAATAGTAAATTCAACATCTTTGGGTTTTTCACTGTTGGTCAGACAACAAAGGTCATTTGAATATGTGAACGTGGACTTCAGGGAATAATCCAATCAATCAGTTATTAAGGAAAACAGTTGTCAGATGTATTTAATATAATAATTGTTGGTTTCAACCTTTCTAAATTGTACGAGTATGACAGTGATCATATGCTGTGGCCTTTGTGTTGCCTCAATGCAGCTGAGCACCTATAAAAGATCAGATCCCTTTCCGACCAAAATCATTGTAGGAACTATGGAACCAGGGGAGACAAACTCAGGAACTAAACAAGACATTGTGAGACCGATGATAGATTAAAAAATAAGAGCAGTGTTTGAAAAGCTCAGTCATCATGTTACTCTTTGTATTTACTCTGATGTTTGATTTTGATTTAATGGATGAAGAACATGCAGAGGTGGACAGGGAGATTGAGATCTGAGTGTTTTATGGTTATGATGATGATCTCTTCCTCACTTGCTCCCCTGTCCGCCCATCGTCTATAATGATACTAGTTTCACCCCATTCTTCATTATTTTGTGAATGAGGGGGTACTAAAGTTGCAGTTGACATGGTGTCTGTGTTTAACCAACCAGTGACGTTCAGGCCCACAAATTCCCTAAAGCCCCAGAACTCCTGTACAATCAGACACGTACGACCTTGGAGAAGAGACTTATTTTACAAGTAGAACTAATGTTCAGGAACTAGATTAAGTCCCTCCAGTCAAAGTGCAGCCTTTTTTTTTTTCTTTTTTTTTTGCTCCACTGGAGGCGTTCCAGCAGGCTGCTCCTCAGCTGCCACATTCCCAGTATAGTTTAGAGCTGCTTTGCCGACCTTGTTTGCATTTGAGCAAAACGCAGCTCATTTAGGATCCACAGATACTTTGTGGTTGCACTTTACTCATTTTAATTACTTACAACTGTGTTGTCTGTATTTTCTGAACAGTGCTCATTAGAAGAGGGGAAATTCACCGGCTTGTTTTACAGACTTTGGAGGGGACGTGACATAAACAAACAAAAAAAAATAGTAAATATGTGTCATTTAGTGTTAATTTTAAGTCCGTTATACAGTCATTTATACCTGCACGAGAGAGTCAGTTCCTTGCATGCGAAACAGGCTCTGGAAATGATGTCGTGATGCAGTGGGACATTGGGGGTGAGAGAGACATCACTCTCATCACCATCATCAAAACAGCTTCTTTTTTTTCTTTTTCTTTTTTTTTTACAGACTTAGAGAAAACAAGCCAAGGAGCACTGAAGCTGTGCCAGATGCTCCTGGTGGTCATCATCATTTTCTCCATCAATTTGGCTCGTACTGTATCTGTTTATCCATGATGCATGTGTGTCTGCTGCACAACAAAAGACAGAACAAAATTCCTCCACCCACTGGTCTTGCCAGCTCCAACCCTTGTGAGAATAAATTAAACTGAGCTAAAAGACTGCAAACTATGCCGAATAAAGTGGTTTGTGTAAAGATAAAGATCAAAAGTAATCCTCACAGAGCGGCTTTGCCACTCTGAGTGATAGTGAACAGTGTAATCTAATTAGTGTGTTTACTGTTATTGCCTCTTTGCCCCTTAATTCCTCTCACAGTATTAAGTGCTTCATGTAGGCTGCTGCTAACATGGCGGCGTGTGGTTGTCTGCTGCACAAACAAGTCATGAGTGTTGTTTGTGATAGAAATGCATGTATCATGTTAAGTGTTAATCTATAATGAGCACACAGTGTAAACGAGTCTGCACAAGCGTATTCATTTCAGATTCATTTACTCTCCCTGGCAGTCACTCGGAGACTCGTTATGAACTCACTCTGCAGAAGAAAATCTTAATTGGGATATTTCAGCGCAGTTTTTTCCTCGTCTGCAGCGTGTGTGTAGAAAACATCATTTCCTAAGTGGTGTCAATCAGCTGGTTTTGCACCGTCATTAAAAGCAGCAAGAATCCAACAAAAGCTGGTCATCATTTTAATGTTGTTATAATTAGAAAACAGTAGTAGTAGCAGGAGGTAGGAGCAATGTGGAGAGAGTGGTGATGGAGACGGTGATATGCAGCGGAGAAATGAACAGAAAGAGAGACGCTATGTCACACATACATGTTAGGACGTCATAGGAGATGGGAGACATGACAACAACAAAGCACAAAGAGTGTGCAGAGGATGAAGATTCCTCTTTATAAACCCTGACAAGGAGATTCCCATTGAGGCTGACGAGTACATTACAAGAGAGCTCCAGTACAATTATATATGCACTGTGCTGTATGCAGGACTCAGTTTGTGCTGGATCCTGTTGTAAAAGGATCTGGGACAGCCCACTGTTCTGTTGGATCCTTTGTCACTATCAAAATCTGCCGGCTAAATACATTTTGTGTAATATTTAATGTCATCTGTTCTGTTACTCATACAAAACATAAAACAACCGAATTAATTGGATGAAGATACATGTGACCATTGCTAAGCTGTTGTTTCAGAACCATGGACAGGGCTGTTTGTTTTGTGTGTGTGTGTGTGTGTGTGTGTGTGTGTGTGTGTGTGTGTGTGTGTGTGTGTGTGTGTGTGTGTTGTGTGTTGTGTTCTATGTGTTGTGTTTTTATTTTTCAGCCCCAGTTCCTCCCTCTCTGTGTTCCCGGACCTCCTGATTTACAAATTAAAGCAGTTGACTGTATGTGAGCGTGTTTATGCACTCGCTCAAGCGGAGAGGTTCACAATATGAAAACACAGACAGAAACTCTTTTTGTCCCTTCTCTCGAAATAAACACATAGAGGGAAACAGCATGTATTTGGAACCAGGCATACGAGAAGCACATTTAGTATTCACGTATTCATACAGTAGCAGCAGAGACTCGGCCTCGAAGAATCTGGTTCACCTCAAATAAACCTGCACTTGGCAGCTCACAAGGAAATGTTACAAAAACAGTAACAGTGATCAGCAAATACATAGTTGAAAAGATTAATGATTCATTATAAAAACCAAACTTTCTTTCCAGATGCAAATTTCATTTTCTGGTAACTGCCTCAACTACAAACTATAGGCTACCTCTGCGTTAGCTTAGTCCCCTATGCAATTTGATAATGTGCTAAAATCATAAACTATTTTATTTTTTATTTTAACTTAATTTAATGTGATCGGTTTATTTGATCCAGTTTAATGGCTGAGCTGGAAGCCACTGAGTAGATGTTGTATCGTGGTGCACTTTGAGAACCTTCTCAATTTTATTTTTTTTAATAACTTTAATAACTCAAACTTTAGCAAGACATTCAGTCTCTTAGGTCAAGTTTGGACTGAACCACTATAGGATGTGGGACTGCTTGTTTAGTCCCCTGCTGCAAACTTGGTTGTGACCAAGCGGCATTCTCCGAGGCTGGAAAATAAAGCCACCACTGAAGTACTAAAAACTGCAATTACTAGACTAGAGTCTGTCGAGTCTGTCTGCAGAAATAAACACGTTTACAGCCTGATACAAAAAACGGTTTTAGTCTCTGTTGCTAATTTCCTCCTTCATGACAACTGTACAGGAAGTGAATTTTTATATAACTCAACTGTTTAAATATTGTTATGGCTTAAAGTTAGGTTTTGAGGGTGAGGGCGTGGCCACTTTGAGTGACAGAGTGCCACAAACCGGCATGAACCCATTTTTGGATTAGCTGGGAGTTAGGGGCGGAATCAGGCACTGCCAAGATGGCAATGGCGATGGCGGAGCAGCACACTCTGAGCAGCACACTCTGAGCAGCTCACTCTGAGCTTCAAAACCTATGGGTGAACACACACACACACACACACACACACACACGTCCACACAGTTATGTACAGGACGAGTGACAGACTCTGATTAGCAAACAACAAAGACACAAGACAATGTGATATATGAGCCAGAAGCTGACACACACACATGTACACGTACACACACACACACACACACACGTTAACATGTTTGTCACAGAGGAGGCTTATCTGTACTGCACACCGGGGGGGTAGACAGTCTTTCTTCCCTCCCTGTCCAGTGTGTGATTGTTGCAGCAGTGTGTTTTGTGTTTTGAGAAGAACCAAGAAACACAAAAAAGCTCTCATTACTGAAAATAGGTCAAAGCGAGTGTGTCTGTGTATGTGTGTGACAGGTGAAGAGCAGCGGTCTAAAGCTTGTTTACAGGGTGAT